CCGGCCTTATCCAATAAGAGTTTAACCCCTTTGAAGTTTGAAAAATTGGCAATTAGGTCCATTAATAATGTTTCTTCACCATTAGGTCCTTAACTCAACTTAATATGCTTGAAATTTTTGGGGTATTACAGTAATGAAAGCCAATAATAGTAAGATAATTGAGAATATTAAGAAGTGAAGTAGAAGTGGAAGAGAAAAAGATAAAAAGATATTATTAGTACATATATTTATTATATTTTAAATGTAAAAATACTATATTTTCTTTTTAACTTCTAACAAAATATGCTTTTATAATTAAAATAAAAATGAAAAATTTTACTGCCTGATTAATATTTGAGTACAATATTGTTGAGCGATGGATTTGTATGGTCGCAAAACCAATGACATGTGCGGATCCACATCAGCAAGGGCCCACAATGCTCATTTCCTACATCAGATGTGCAGTTTCCATTTTTCTACTAATTGCTGCGATGGAATCAGCATCGCTAGAAATGACACTCATGCACTTCGCTGGAGACATCGCAAAATGCAACTTACTTCAGCACCTATTTTCACATACATGGCTAGACATGGCTAGACATGGGGCTAGATCTATTTTGGCAACATGGCTGAGCATTTCTTGATGGTCATGTCCTTTGCAGCAATGTGCATCATTGTATCTTACGGCTCCTAGCAATGGATAAAAAGCCTACTTTACTACATGGTTCCCATCAATGGATAACGGGTTGATCTTATTACATCTATACAGCTCCTAGTGATGGACAAAGGGCCATATTTGCTATCTCATTTAGCCTCCAACAATGAACAAAAGGCCACACATCTTTACACATCTTTACATATATTCATTTCATCGGCTCCTGGCAACAAACAAAGGGTCGGATCTCTACATATTTTATCTCACTAGCTCTAAAAAATGGACAAAAAGTCAGCGTAACTCGGTACGATTAGCGTGAGGGCGATAATAGTTGCAACCCTACGATTGGACGGGATGGCTACCCTTCAACGATAAAAATCCATCAAGTAGCGGCTGGGGGTCCCTTGGTGGTCACCCATGCATGGTAGTGTGGGCTCGACGGGCAACAACAACTAGGACCACCCTCTGACGGTGCGGGTACGGCAAGAAAGGCCAACGTTTGTCAGTGTTCACACACCTTGTCATATCGGAGGCCATGGATGCGGTTAGCATCCTTCTTCCATGGAGACAACTCCACCTTTCTATATACATATTCATCGTTATGGCGAAGTCTGGTTTAACGAGATTTACCTCTTCGTGGCTTGGCGGATTAGTGGGAGTGCTCTTTCGATTCATGCTCCAGCCATGACAAAGCTAGCCACTGTTGTCCCTTTAGCTATGGGAAGACTGTACATGGTTGACCTCGCAATACACACATAACATGGCTGGAGGTCATGCACATCGTCACTCTTCTACACAAAGGGATAAAATTACCGATCGTCGGTAACTTCGACTCATAACACATATTTTCTATGTCTTACATGTTAGCAAGTATCGTCGACCAACGAAGCTTGGCTCGGGACAACGATATCGCAGTGTACACCTACACCACTTATTCCCCATTCTGGTATAATGCCAGCCATGTACAATAGTAATATACCGATGCTGGTCATGGCCAACAAGCAAGCAAGCAAGAGCAACAAATATTCATCCACATAGTCCCCTTCAACACATGAGGGAGTTTCCTTCTTCGTTGCATATGCCTACATGTTTCTTATTCTTCAATATATACTCACACGTGCCCTGCTGTTACTGTAGATAAACACAAGCTCATGAATCCAAGTTCATGGGAATTTTTCGGGATAAACCATGAGAGTAGTGGCTTGGCAAGCATGGATGGATGAATGTCACCCGTTTGGCAAAGCTAGGCATCCACACAAGTGAAGCTTGGCATTGGCAATGCTGCCCGACTTCGCCAGAAAGAGGCTGGCTGGTAGAGACATGGAAATGAACTTGATTCCTGAAATAGTGCCGTTTGATGCTAACTGAAGACTGGAAATCCCACCAAAACTAACCAAAGGTGCTATCTTGGTCACCATCAGCAACTTGCAGCCATATTTAATGCAAGGGTGGCTACACAAGTTCCATGGCCTTTGAAACTGCCGTAAAAGATTGTTATTTGCTTGTAGAATCTTCCCAAATCTTGCGTAAAGCCTTGGGGTACTCACCAAATCCTGTGCACATGTTGTTTTTGCCGATTGCACTTAAGCACCTCCCTAAAAATGGGATTTTGTATGGTTGGGGACACTGCCAAAAGTATACAATTTCCAGTTTCTTCGCCAGAACCATCGAAACTTCACTAGGACCATTGGGCAATTCATAATGCCATTGTCACAGAGTTGCTAGTAGTGCTTGGAACCACCAAAAATTCAACAGCTCACTCCAACCTTTCTGCACACCTCTAAGCCACCAACCAAAAATTACAACAATATCACTGCATTTATATAAATTATCTGCCCTTCATTTTCAAAAAGAAAGAGAGAGAGAGAGAGAGAGAGAGGGAAAAAACGCATGAAGCACAACAACAGACTTGCACACCAAAACTCTCATTTCTCCTCCAAATAAAAATAGATTCCATCTTCAACCCACTCCTCTACATGTAGAAATCACCCGTAAACCACCATTTTTCTCAAGTTTCCAGTGTCTCCAGTTCTGCAGAGCATTTTCTAACACTGTAGAACATTCTCCAGCCGTGTAGAACATTTTCTCGCATTGCAGAATATTTTCCAACATTGTAGAACATCAATCACCCAACACTGCAGAATATTTCCAGATTTGCAAGATATTATGGCTGGGGAACAACATGCTACAGTTTTAGCTTTCGGATAGTTTTTCTTGAGCATCAAACGATCAAGGTTGCAAGGTTAGCATCAAAATGGGATCAAGCATTCCATTCATAAGCTCCTAAGCAGTCACCTTTCCTTCTCCCATCACCATTCTCAGGTTTATCCTTTTCATCTTTGGAAGAAGCTCAAGATTGGAGTTGCTGTACTCTTCATTTTCAATATGAAGATTGTTCGTTATAGAGTAAAAGTCTACACTAGAGATGAAAGGGGTCACATTTATTGTTATTATTATCATGTCACTATGATTTATGTATAAGTGTGATCCTCAAGTTGTAATTTTTGAACCATATGTATTTCACATCTTTGTTGCCCTTCCTTAACAACACACAACTTCTCCCCATTATGTTTTTGGTAGTTGTGTGATCACCTTGAACCCCTGGAATCCTGCCATTACTGCCCAGCTCTACCGGCTTGGCTGAAAAGTTCATCTTTTAAAAGCTTTTGCTGAAAGGTGCACTACAAGATATCATCACCCAATAGAATGGGATGGCTTGTAACATGTAACCTTCTACACATGAGACGGGTGCCGCCGAAAGAACCCCCCTCATTCTCTCGGGTGTCACTTAGTCAGCCTCCACATCGTCACCATTGCTGACTCATTCACCTACATCACCAACAGCCTCGAACAAATATTTTATATAATATATAGATATAAATAGATAGATATAAATGTAGACTGTTAATCTAAAAAAATTTTACCTTTTGATTTTTTTAATATATAAGTTTTATTAGTTGTTAGTCTAATAATCAAATAATTTTTATCTTATACATTTTCTTTTCATTTTCCTTATTTATTTTTAATTCTTATTTAATCAAATTCATAGTTCTTTAAAATTGAAGTTAAACAATATCAATTATTATTTTAATAAAAAAATCATACTTTAACAATTATCCTCTTTTTTTTTTAATGTTTTTACATTAGTCTTTACCAACTCTTTTTTTTATAATTACTTAACTTGTAAAATTTTGTTTTATGATTATTTTTCTTGTCCCTTTTCTCATTCCCAATTTCCTACCATTTTTGTCCATTCTTATTTTATTCCTTTAACTTGTATTACAAACTATTTTAATATATTAATATAAATGCCCAAATTAAAGTTACAAAAAAAATTATTTGAATGAGATTTTAGTATAATTAAATGCACATTCCCAAATATATATAACAGTAATATTGGATATATATACAATTTTGAAGGAATGTGAAGTAAAACTTTTACATTTAAAAGAATTAAAAGGTTAATAATAATATAATTGTCACGCCCCAAAACCAGAATCCGAGGCGCGACAGACGCCGTGCACTCGTGAGACGGATCCCACAAATGCACAAGGCTCGGAACTTAATCATCTCATACTCTGATATCATTAAAATCTGAAGATCAAATCTTTAAAATTTACTCTGATATCATAAATCTCCAAATACACTCTAGTTTACAAGATCATGATTTATCTCTAAAATCTATATCAATCTCGAAATGGCTAGCTTTTTAACTCGTCACTTCCCGTGGTTTTCCCGTCCTCGGTTTCACTTCTTGAAATGGTGGACAAGGAAAAACTATGAGATAAACTCAGTAAGTAAATATGGAGTGCCCCTTATTAAACTTATAGCATGCCAACATGTGCAATCACGAAAAACGGATACAATACGGGAACGAAATAGACGTCTCCTCTATAGGTCACGGCCAGCGTCTAACACCCACTGGCAGGCACACTGTTTGCTGGTGTATAATCCCCACAAGCAGGGTCACTCAATGAATCAGTTCTATCAATAACATGCCGACATGTGCTAGCGTTTATAACCTCCCCCACTAGCAGGGTCACGAATAACATATCGACATGTGTCGACATGTGCTAGCGTTTAACTCCCACTAGCAGGATTACAGAAACATATCGACATGTGCCGACATGTGCTAGTGTTTATAAACTCCCCCACTAGCAGGGTCACTAATAACATGACCACATCGGAGACAAAACAGGCAGAAGTTAACAGAAAAATCATACTTTACCAATCACTTTTAGATCATCAGGACAATCACTTAAATTTCAAGTAGGCATGCTCAATTTAATGAAAAGCATAAAAATTGCACTTCGAATCAGTCATACTTGTGTAAAACGGGTTTAGTCCCGCCACCACTTCAAAAACAAATCAAAACATGCTTTTAAAAATTGTACGGGCATTACCATAAATTTACTTACCTCACTCACATAAAACCGAGCATTCAATCTCAATGCTAACTGACAGAACGATCGGGAACCTAATCAAAATACCTCAGAATCAATACCGAACTATCACAAATTCAAACTGAAATCATCATTAAGATCACTCCTAATCCCGATGCTATTTCCTATCAATCTCCACGTGATCAGATATCTCCAAATTTATTCTTATATCACAAACTAATCGTTTAAATCCTCGTTAATTATTGACCCTCGGTGCGTGAACAGTAACCTGTGAACAGTGCCGGTGAACAGTGATCACGATGTGAACAGTAACTGCACTTCCAAAATTGGCCAAAACACTAGATAATCTCACGGGGTTTTCTCTCCAAAAATCTCACAACAATCAATTAACACTCAATCACATAAATTCCACTTCAATTAAGCTAAATCATGGTCCTAAAGCTATCAACTAAAGCTATCAAATTCTTCCCCATTTTTTGCGGAATTTCGGACACACAAGGCAGCGAACAAAATGGACAATTTAAGCCTTAAAAGGCTGTCACATACCATAATTCTCCAGTTGTAGAAACCGGAGCTGCAGGGGGGAAGAGGCCGGCGGCAAGCTGCAAGGAAAGCTCACGGGTTTACCCAAAAATTGGAGGAACAAGAGCAATTAAAGTAAACCCAAGGCAATTGAAAGCTAGAGAAGGGAGAATTCGAGCTATTTCTTACCAAAAACCGAACAAATCACACCCACAAAGCAGGAGCAGCCGGACGGTGAGGAGCGAAGCAAGGCAGATCCGGATTTTCCAGCAGGGGGGAAAGATTTCTGGGTTCCATTTCAGTCTTAGAACAAGAAAAGAAGGCCAAAAATCAAGCTCTCTATCGGTTTCTCAAAGGCTGGTGCCGGGTCCCCCTTTCTTTTTTTTTTTTTTTGCTCGGTGCAGGGGAAGAAAAGAAGAAGAGCAGAATCGGGAAATGGCTGGGGAAGAAAAGAAGGAAAAAGGAGAAAAGAAATAAGCCATCCTTATCCAAATTCTCATCTTTTAAGTCCCTCGAGTTTGGGAATGTTGGCTATTAAGCCCAAAACAATATTTTTCCACAATTTAGCCCCTAACTCACTTATTTATTCTAGAAAATTTTGGGGTATTACAATAATATGAAGTAAAATTTTACTATTTAATAGAATCAAAAGGTTAATAATAATATAATATGAATAAAATAAAAAAATAACATCTTGCAAAAAAATGTAATATTTTCATATAGCTTGACATTTATTAAATTCATACCTTTTCTCCAATCCCTTAAATAAAGTTGTGTCCTTACCACACATCCAAAAAAAAAAAAAAAAATGAACCATTAATAATCTAAAAAGAAGATAATACATAAATTTCAAATAGATAAAGTTACAAAATTTTTTAAAAAAAACAATTATCATATCTTCTATAAAAAAATTCATAAAAAATAATAAGATTAATAAGGAAAATAGTTTATTACAATAATATATATATTTTGGACTAAGATTAAAAACGATATAAAAAATAAAAACATAATATTATATTTAGATACAATATGAAATAGGAAATAAAAAAGAAAAAAATTGAAACTCACCATATTAATAAAATGAAATTGAAGGGATGAAGAGGAGAATATAATATATTGGTGTAGAGAAAAGTGAGGGTTTATATATAACTGAGTAGAAAGATAGAAGGATATTGTACATAAAGAAAAAGAAAACCAAAAGGATAGAAAAAATTATAACTGCACAAATACTTATTATGCCATGCATTACAATTCTACGCATTTATTTTTCATAAATTTTAAGCATCTATCTATCTTTCTTCATTTGAACGCATTATATTATATTATGTATAGCTTAAATACCCTTTTTGATCCTTCTACTATAAGAAAAAGCCCATTTTTGGTCATTATACTGAAAAAATCTCCTTTTTGATCCCTAAATTTTTAAATATGGCCCATTTTTAGTCCTGCCGTTAATTTTTGCTCACATGGCACGTTAACTTAACTAGAACAGTTGACACCCTCCATGTCACCCTTCCTGCATGGAAAAGAAAAAAAAAAAGGTTAAATGTTAAATTTGATTCCTCAACTTTATATGTTTGCACTTTTTTTATCCTTAAATTATTTTTTTCATTTTTTTTTTATCTTTTAACTCTAAAAATTGCACAATTTTGATCCCTCCATCAGTTAAGCATGACGTGACAGTTAAATAATTCCATTTGACATTTTCTTTTAATTTTTTTTATGACATGACAATTACATATATATTATAATTATATTATATAGACAAATAAAAATGTCACGTAGATAAAAATTTATATTTTAATTAAAAAATAAAATTACATTTTACCCTCATCTCTCAATCCCTCTTCTTCCCCTTCTTTCTTTCTCTTTCTTTCTTTCTTGCCCAAATCGGTTGGGTTCCGATGAGCTGGGTAGCTGGGTTTGACGAAACCCAGATCTGTTGGGTTCTGTCGAACCCAGCTTTGCTGGTCACCCGAACCCAGCCTTGTTGGTCGCGTGAACCCAGCCTTGTTGGTCGCGTGAACCCAGCCTTGCTGGTCGCGCAAACCCAGCCTTGCTGGGTTGGTCGAAACCCAGCTGCTAGGTTCACACAACTAGCAAGGTTGGGTTTCGACCAACCCATGCTCGACGAAACCAGCAAGGTTGGGTTTCAACCAACCCAGCTATGCTGGTCGCACTTGCTGGTTTCATTGAAACCTAGCAAGGGTGTAATATCCCAAATTTTTGGGAATTTTATCAATTAAGTTAGGGGACTTATTTTGGGAGAAATATTGTTTTGGGGTCTAATAGCTAAAAACTCCAAAGTTGAGGGACTTAAAAGAAAGGAAATGAGATAAGGATCAGCTGCTTTTTCTTTTCTTTTTTTTTTTCTTTCTTTCTTTTCTTTCTCATCAGGCCGCGACTTGCTTTTCTTCTTTTTCTCCCCGACAAGCCCCCCATAGCCACCGACGCACTCCTCTTGAGAAAGTTGGCAAAGCTTGATGGATTTACCTTCTTTTCTTGTTGAAAGCCGAACTTAGACTTGGAAATCCCCCTTTCCTACAGAAAATTCCAGATCTGCTGGGTGTCTCTTCCTCCCCTGTCCGTCGGTTTCTGCTGGGTGTGAATCCTTCGGCTTTTTCTGGTAAGCCACAACCAAGAAATCATCTCCTTAGCCTTGATTTAACTTGGGTTACTCTAATTTTTGGTTGTGGTTCTTGAATTTTGGGTAGTTTCCGTGAGTTTCCTGGCAGATCCCGTCGGCTCTCCACCTGCCAGCTCCGGTTGTGGTTGCCGGAATTTTCTGGTTTGAGACAGCTTTTAAAGCTGAACTTTAAACCATTTAATTGTTGCCTGTGCTGTTGAATTTTCCTATTGCAATATGGAAGAACCCGTTAGTTGCTACCCCTTTTTTGCTGTCCGAAATTGCTGTTGTACAGGGGAACATCCGGCAGCATTTTAAGTGTGTTTTGTTGCTTAATTCATGTAGAATTAGCTTAATTTGGCTGCTGTGAATTTTATAGAGAAAATCCCGTGTGTTTAAGCCACTGTTTTGCCAAGATAAATTTTGAATAAAAAGTCCTGTTGCTCGGTTTTTTCCATTTCCTTTGTCCGTGGGAGTGGGAAAATTATGTATAGGTGTTTGTGTGCATATATAGATATATATGCACAATCTGATTTAGTGCTCAAATCTTGGAAATAAAAATAATAATAAGGAAATAAATATGGCATTGATGGGCGTAATGGTTGTTCTAGGAGATGCTTGAATTTGTAAATTGATTATTTGTTGAATGTTATGTTCTTTTCCCTAGGAATCTCGTGTTCCAATTGGGAGGGAACAATGAGGCTTTGGTTTGGTTCATGGATGGTTATAGATGTGTGGGTGTAATGTGAACAGGAAGGAAGCAGCGGCAATTAGTGTGTTGATAATGGTGGTGGTGGTTTTGCGGATTTATTATGTGTGAGGTGTTGATAAGCATAAGTTGAACATGAGTTTTCTATCTTATGCGAGTGAGGTAAGTAAATTATGGTGATGCCCTTCGATTTTAAAGCATGTTTTAAATTGTTTTTGAGATGGTGGTAAGGTTTAAATTGATTTTATCAGCATCTGAGTGTGATTAAACTGAAATGCAAATTTTGATGATTTTTATGAAAATTATTATTTTCTGGAATTGAGCATGATTTGAATGAAAATGAGAATTTCATTGTTTTTCTGGAGTTGAGCATGCTCACATGGAATTTTTCGGTTTATTCTTGAAATTGAGATTAATGGTGAATTATGTATTTTCTGTAAATTTTGCATGGTTTTGTTTCTGGTATAGTCATGATTACTGACGCCCGCTAGTGGGAGTTTGCAAACGCTAGCACATGTCGACATGTATTTCTGTAGAACCAGTTCATCCTGCCAATGGGATTAAACATTGGTTATTACTGATGCTTGCTAGTGGGAGTTGTTAAACACTGGTACTATTACTGACGCTTGCCAGTGAGAGTTTGTTTAACACTGGTACTTTTGTAACCCTGCCAATGGGGTTAAACATTGGTTATTACTGATGCCTGCTAGTGGGAGTTGTTAAACACTGGTACCACTACTGACGCCTGCCAGTGGGAGTTTGTTAAACACTGGCCATGACTTATAGATGAGACTACTGAATTTTCTTCTGCATTAACGGTTTGTCATTGAATGCTTTGCTATTGAACTGAATTTGATTCTGTATTAACGGTTTATCATTGAAAGTTCTATTATGTTTACATGGTTTATCTGGCATGCTTAAATTTTTACCAAGGGCTATTCATATTTTTTACTTACTGAGATATTTTATCTCATAGTTTTTCCTTGTCCACCATTTCAGGAAGCGAAACCGAGGACAGGAAAAACGAGGGGTGTGACGCGTTAGAAGGCTAGCCATCTTGTACATTGAACATAGATTTTAGGTATAGATCATGATCTTGTAAATTAGATTTTAATTGGAGATCTTATAAATTAATTTAATGGATTGTTAGTTTACAAGAGATTTGACCTTGAGATTTTGAGCTTAAGTCATGTTGGACATAAAATTATTTTGAGATAATTGATTTGAGTTATTGGATTATCAGATGTGAATTGGATAAGTTCCGAGCCTTGTGCATTCGTGGGACCCGTTTACGAGTGCACAGCATCTACCACGTCCTTGGATTTGGGTTCTGGGGTGTGACAAAGGGTTCATGTTTTTTCATTCTTCTTTTGATTTTCATTTTCGGTTCTTGATAAATTTGAGAGTTGATTTACAATTTGATTGCTTTTTTGTTGGAATTGGATTAGGGTTTGATTGCATTTGTTTATTGAAGGGTTAATTTGATTTGGTGAGATCTATTGGCTTGATGAACTCAGTTGCTTTAATGAAACTAGTAACTGGGTTCGATGATAGAGAACTCAAATTTTGCTTTGGAGCATTCTAGGGTTCATAGTTTTTTTGCAGGTTTTAGTGAGTTTGATTTGTGAGAATATGAACTCTCAACGTTCATAGCATTTAACCTTTTATGGGTCGACCAACA